ATTACAAAATTTTACTTCATAATTTTTTAGAATAAACCGCTCGTAACACTAAAAGGAAACTTTTATTAGGGGCTAAGTTTGAAGGTAATAAAGATAGATTAAGAGAGAAAGACGATAAGTCGATTGCGAAATTAGCCATCCACGTAACATTCCATTTCTGTTTTTAAACTGCGATTATATTTTATTACTTTATATCTGTTTTTAGGAATGGCGGTTGATAAAGAGGAAAAGAATAATTCATAATGGAAATTTTTTAAAGCAGTTCAATGTATAAGTTTTTATAAAAAAATAATTCATAAGTTCTGTATTGCGAAAGGATTTTTAAGATAGACAAAATAAAAATAACGATGAAAATAAGAATATTGAGGATTGTTTTTCGGTAAAAGTCGAGAAAAAATATAGAGGCTACAATTAAATAAAAGTGAGCAAACTTTAAAAAAAATGAAAAACATTTGATAACTTCAGATCATAAAATAATTGTTAATCAAAAATTATCTTCGAAAATTTTAGACTTCACTCTCCCTCCCCAAGGTGCAGTAGCTTGCGTTCCAATAAGAAATGATAATAATTAAAAAAAGAAATAGCACTACAACACTGATGTCACCTATAAAAAAAAAATTTCTACAAAAAATAGGTTAAGTATTTTGCATTTCCATGTTATTTTTTTACTGTTTACGTTATCTTTATTTACTATCTTGTAGGAATAATTTAAAAAAAAAAAACTTACCTGTTCTGTTTCTTCAATCTAGTTCAGTTTAGGAAAATTTTTTAGAGAAATTTATGTTTTAAAATATTTTTGTAAACTCATTCTATTCTAAGACATTCACGAATCTCGCTTCCGCTACAAGAAAAAAACTAACAAACTAAGCCTAAAAACAGTTACTTAAAATAATAGGTTTATCGATTTGTTATATTGTAGAATGTACTGTTAACTTTTCTCAAAATGAACTGATACGGCTAAGAAACAAGGATCTGATGTTCTTAGTAATTACCTTAGAATAATATGCATTTAATATATTTTAACTAATTCTCAATATTTTTCATCCAATGAAGACCACCTTTGCGTGTAGATTGTTTCCTTTCAACAATAATAAGTCATTTTAATTATAATGTCATATACGTACCTAATATTTAAAAGTAAGAAAGAAAAGTAATTGAAAAAATGAGCTTAAAAAAGAAAGCTAAAATGAGTAAGTGGCTATTCTAATATTACGTAAGCATCTTTTTGGTAATTTTTAGCCTCTCCGCCTTGTAAGCAAAAATAAGCAATTCACAATCCCCTTACATTTTTCCTTAAGATTTTGAGTTTCAGCAATTATACCCAGGGTTGACAAAAATTATGATTTTTTTTAAAAAATAAAAAACACTGTCTTTTTATTTTAATCGATTTTTTTATTTAAATTAAATTATTTACAGTTTTTACATTTTTCAATTAAGGCTTTGATAAAATCTATATTATATAAAACGCTAATACGTACGTATGTATCAATAAAACCGATGATATTTCTTTTCTCGCGTAGGCAACAGTTTTTATTTTTAATTGATAGGCTTCGGCGCGCAAGAGCACGTAGTGAGCATTATATGGTTAATCTATATTATATAAAACGCTAATACGTTTTAATTGATAGGCTTCGGCGCGCAAGAGCACGTAGTGAGCATCATATGGTTAGTCGGGTGAATTCTCACCGAATTATCAAAAAAATTCTCACAAAATTATCTTCATCGAAGCCGATGCTTTACATCCGGCGTTCAGTACTATTTCATATTGTTTTACAACACATGGTCTTAGCCCTCTGGTGGNTCACAAATTATACCTTGTAAAAATTTTTTTTCGATTTAAATTAATGCTTTAAAAATAATTTAAATTATGTCAATCCGGAAAATAATCTAATCTAAAAAATTTTTATAATTGGATATATTATTATTTAAATTCATGCATGCTGAAATAATTTCTTTAAAATTTTACTTAATTAAGTTTCTAAATTATAATTTTACAAGAAAATAAATTTCACACGACATTTTAAATGTAGCTTAACATAAATTAGTTTTTATTACGTTTAGTCTGATTGAGTCGAAATGTTATAAAAGCTACATAAAGAGACTACAGATAAATAGACTAATACCGTTTTCGTCTAGATTCTATAGGTTTTAGAACTTAAATGTTCTTACTAAGGTAAAATCACTGGTAAGATTTTGGTAAAACGCTTGGCAACAGCACAGGTTTTTAATTTTTTAATTAATCTAGTGTTCTTACAATCGTGTTCTAGGAACATTATCGACTATATCTATCTTAAGAAATTGTTAGTATTCAAAGTAGCTTAAAAAGAATTTCGGACCATATTTGCCGTCTGGCTCGCCGTGGGAGGTTTTCCGCTATATGTAGAGCAAATGCGGGTTAGTTTCGTCAAAAAGTCCTCCATGAAGGCAAATTTCTCCCAATACTTACTTGATCCAGGAGTTCCCTTATTTTCTAGATTGGGTTCAAAATTGCATGGCTACGGAGTTGCCATTTAATTTTGGGTTGCTGTTCAACAACGGTTATGAAATTAGAAGAAATACCTATGAGCTAAAAGTAAGATACATCAGAAAAAAGTTTTTATTCTCACATCAATTTTAAAACAATTAAAAACTTTTAATGAGAGAAAAATGTGAAAAACAATTTGTTCTCACACGATTAACATTATACATTATTAAATAGTTATTGTTAGATATTCTGAAAATTATTTGAAAAGACGAGTTTATTTTGTTTACAGTTCAGCTGAAGCTTAATTCTATCTAATATAAAGTATATTTAAATAATATTAAGTAACTGTAATTTAAAAGTAATGGTAGTGTACTAAAGTGCAGATTATCGAGAAAATTGTTTAGTTGTACTAAATCTTAACTATAATGTATTTACCTGTATACCATATTACACTGAGTATACTTACCCATCTTTCATTCGATGGGATATTTTTAATTCTAAAAAAGCGTTTTTCTTAATCTCATAAAGTAGGGTCACTTATTGGGACAACAAAAAATTTCAAATTGTTAAATTACGTTTCAAATTGTAAAACTTTTCGGTTTTGTGGATGATTGCATCGTTTTGTAATATCAGTTCTTCATAATTTTTTGATTATTTAACCGTTAAATAGATGATTAATGGAATTTGAATATAAATTTTTTCTCGCTGCATTGTGAGATGTTATATAAAAATTAGGTTACAAAAAAAAAAAAAAATAATAATAAATCAATAGAAGAATTAAAATTGCAAGCTATTATTGAAAAAAAATCATAAAACAATTAGTTTATTCAATATTATACATGCTTACAACCATTTAATTACTCATATGAATATTAACATTTAAAATAAAATTGTACAACAATGATTAAAGTAGTTTTAATATAAGTTGAGGACATATAAAGCATTAAATGGAATTCACTATGACCTTATTATTATGAAATTATCTAAATGAAATTAACCTTTTTCATAATATGGTATAATTTTAATTGAAATATTAAATTATAAAAAATTACTCCAAATTAAAACTTCAAGCTACATTTAAAAAGAAAGAGTTTTAATCTATAAAATAATTTGTTTACCCAGTTTAATATATCTTAACCCCATTTAATCGCTGATATGATTGATAAAGAACACAATAAAGTTCTATAAATATGATTAAAAATCGAAGTACGCCAGAATTGTTTCGTTTTAAATAAAAAATAAGATAAACCATTTTTGGATGCTTTTCAAGCACTTTTAACTAACAATAAATTATTTATATGTCTTTAAATTCGTAACATTGCTAAATTTTTTTTTTTTAAATTTCAAAAAATAAAAATTTTTTTTATTTTTTAAATCCCCCCCCTTTTTTATTTTTACGTAATTTTTATTTGCTTATTGATAACCTAAAGATATTCATTTATATTTACATAATAACATTTTCTACATTTACTTTTGAGCAAAATCAAAAGAAAGAATTCAAAATATATTGGCTAAATGGATACAACGTGTTGTAAAATTTTTTATAATTTTTAAAACTCTTGCTCAATTGTTGTGAGTTTTAAATTATTTGAAGTTTTAATGTACGCAGTAAAATTTATTTTCTTTTGGGTATCGGACCCTTGCAAGTTTATAAACAAAATGAGTACATTTAAAGTAATAAATGAAATTGACATTTATTTAATTTAAAAACAGAAATAAACCATAAATGAATATGAAATCGAATGAATTTGTCTTGTGATTTGGAGTAATGTTAATTGAAATTTGAAATTGTAATGTTAATTAACGTACTAATATCTAATTCAATTAATGTAATTAATAATGTTAATTGAATTGAAGATAAATTAAATCCAGTGCCTGAAAGCAAAATAAAGCATTTTGATCTATAAAACGATTAGTTTATATTATGCTTCTATATCTATTTATGGATCGTAATTTCAGATAAAATCATTGGAATAGAATCAATATAACTTAAGCAAAATTATTATATTTTTCAAATATTGTTATTTAATTGGCAAAAAAAAAATTAAATTTGCTGAATTGTAAAATGCTAAATAGAGCAATAATTAATAAAATGAATAAACTTTACTTTCAACAGTGAAAAAATAACAATTAAAAATTCTTCTGGAGAAAGAGAAATGGACCGTAAGCCGTTTTCTTTGCCAAAGGGAAAAATTTCATTGCCACACATAGCAACTAATTCGTATTCTTCAAGATGAAAACGATTTACAAAAAATAGTTTTTTTATGAAAGCATAAAACGATATCATTCCTACTAAAATAATTAGGAGAATAAGCTTCACAGAGCTTCTCATTAACATTTCAAGAGTTAATGAGGTTAAAAATAAAACGGAATATTAATAAAACGAAAAATATAGATACACTTAGAATGGCAAAAACATAAACGATGTGGATGGAAGCTGTAAAGAAGGCAGCTAAAGTGTATCGTGAATAGAGCTTCCCTGCGCATGCTCAGTATGTCGGCTGATTTGGTAGGTGTGTCTCTGGGTCGGTTTAGCGAGGAGAGAAGAAGAGAACATAACAGCAGTTTATCCCACGTGCATCTGCTTTCTTTCCTTGGAGCTATAGAATGGTTAATCTTTGCTCCCTATAGATAGAATTTTTTAGACTATTTGGCAATTAGAAATTTTGTTACATTTATGAATTTCGTTGTGCATAAGTGGACATTATTTGTTTGGAAAATATCCAGTACTCATAAAAATCGAGAAATGTGACTGTATAAACATACTTTTTTAAATTTGCATGTGACAACGTTTTATAATTGATTATTTTCCCTTCATCGAAAATCGGACTAGGAATTGCCTCATAGATTCGCTCTTTTTCTATTTTATTTGTTTTCTTGGATTGGCTTAAACGTGGCGACCATAGCGGGGCTTTCGTGTGAAACGTTTTGGTAAGTAAGTTAAAGGAATATGCTTTATAATTTTTTTTTACTTGCAGTTTTCTTAAACAGTTTTAAATATTTATTATTTGTTCATAATATCTTATTTTTAATTTTATTAAAATAAATTTCAGGTTGAATTAGATTTAAAGTTAAATGATGCAAAATCATGTTCCTTATAGATTTATTTCACTAAATTGTTTTCAATAATTCTCGAAAGAAAAAAATTACAATATAAAATTCATTAAAAATTGGTCTTGAAAAATCTATACTATTTAAAACTAATTGTAATTTTTATTCATTTAGGTTTTAATTAAAAGTGGAATTATCTACTTATAAGAATCAATATCATAAAAGTCCATTTCAATTATATCTTTAAGAATAGTTGTGGATCAATTAAAGTAATGAACATCACCTTTTACAATATCAATGAGAGGGTCGCAATATCGAGAAGATACGAGCGTTTGTAACACCTTTAGAGTATAATTAACTTGATTCTAGGCCATTGATGTTCATAGTTTGATTTCGGAGAAGGGTGCATTATACTATGCGGTTACATTTTGATAGAGGATGTCCATTTAATTTAAAATTCTTAAGATGTATTCCCTATATGACTGCAATATATCCATCTGATATATTATGTGCAACAAATCCAATTTGGGCAAATCTGTTGCTAAAAAAACCCCCCTTCTAATTTAATTAAAATCTTTTCACTAAATATTAATAATTTCTCTAAAAAATCATCGAGATTATAATGTTATATTTAAGTTCAACCTATTATTAATTATAAACTTTTGAGTTATCCAGTATAATATAATTACCGTTCGCAAATCCAGTTTCTGGCCAATCCAAGGTAACGACAGATCAAATGCGTTTCTGTACTTCAGTAGGAACACGACCTAAAAAATATATTCCTACTGTCTTTATTTTGGTTTTAATTTCATATTTTGTAATCTGGCAACTTAGTTACGAAAATGATTTTAAATCATTTTTGGAGGATGTCAGTTATACGTGTACGTCTGTTCTCCCTCCTAGTTTTATATTCCTATTTGTGTTTTAATTAGTATTTTTCTTAAATTTTTGTCTTGATTTGGATTCTTTTGAATTTTAGTGTTTTTTTTTTTGCTTGATTTGTTTTATCTTCAAATTGTTTTTTTTTGGAGGAGGGGGGGGGGTTCTCCTCACACTATTTATTGTGTCGATATATTTTGCTTTACATTAATACAATACTAAAAAGAACTATCTTGCGGATATAATCGATTGAGCTGACGACAAGATTATATCTTTTAGTTGTTTTGACTCCTATATTTTTTAAATTTGAATTCTTTTTCTAAGTTTATAAAAATTTTAACTACTTTTTCGTCATTATTTTTCTTATTAACTTTTTTTCTTTCTCGTTTTACACACACACATCAGAAAATCTGACACGTTTGAGATACTCGCAATCAAACGATTGAGTCCATAGGCAGGAGTTTTTAAACTTATTCGTATCTAGCCCTCCTTCTAGTCATGATGTTAATCTGAAGATTGCAGGTATTTATATATACGCCCCTTGGTATATAAATTTTTTTTTATTTCCACTGCCAACCTGTGTCAACATTTCGTCGATTTTACAGGGCAGATCTGCTCTTTCAGGGGCGCCATATTAGGTGGGTCAACGTTGCTCCCACAGTAAGGACAGATAGTACAGAGAATGAAAGAACATTCATGCCTTTTTCGGGATTCGAACCCAGAAGCTTTTCGATGCAAGGTCAGTTCCCTGACGCCTACACAGCCCTGTCGGCGGTTTGAGTTTAGCTTAGATTTATCTTTAACTAAATTTATTGATCATTAAAGAAAATATTAAAAAAAATGCTGATGCACGCTAGAAAAGATAGTACTACTAGTAGATAGATTTTTAACTATAATACATTAATTTCCGCTATTAAATGGGGCATAGCTTTTATCCAAGCTTGAATACCAATTAAGAATAATTTATAAAAAAATATTTATTCGTGTATATTTTTCACGCTATTTACCTCTTAAAATGCTAAGTCTTATTTTAAGTTCAACAGAATGCTAAAAATGTTAAAAAGCGTTTTCAAAATTGGTATTTAATTAAAGATAAAAATAAATAATCCATATTTACCCATTTGTAAAGAATTTAAAAATGCATAAACTTGGCATTTGGATAGTTATGGATTTTCTTTCGCTAAGAAAAATATAATAACCATAATGTAAGTACATTAAACCCGGAGCGAATTTTATTCTTTCTATGTTATCTAGGTGAAAAGAATTGTTCAATCTATATAAAAGATGCCAATAATTTAAATAAATCGCTGATTTGGTAAAAATATTTCATTTTTTTTAAAAATAAATATTTTTTTTTAAAGTATTGATTAGCTTGAAATTTTGCAAACATTTATGAGCACAAACAGTGTTGAGTTAAAGTAACTATTCAAATATTAAAAAATTATATCACAAACGTTTTTAACTTTCACAAAATTGCGGCTTTTTTTCATCTTGACATTCTATATTTTTTATATTTAAGATAGAGGACGCTGACTGATGATGTACAAAATTAACCTTTCGCTCACGAATAACTGTAACTGTTCTAATCGAACAACAGTTAAAAAAAAATAGCGTGGTGCTAAAATGTGTTGTTTCATTTCATATGACGATGCAACCAGCGAAAAATCCCCTCATTATTTCTTAACCATAAGCTCTAAAAACGTTTTTACTTTTTCAGTCAGAATATTTTGTTTCTTCAATCTTTTTACACCGCTTTTCCAATTTTCCATCGACTTTTTGAAGTCCCGCGATCGTTAAGACACGGTTCCCAGCAGATCATCGAAGTCAAGCATCACTGGCTACTGTCAGTGTGCGGGTGGGTGAACACTTGGATTATCCTGCTTAGGGTCCGAGGGTGTGTGGTATTGATCCTCGTTAAACTGTTCTACCGTAAAGTGCTCTACTTCGCGTGCAGTTTGTCGGGCTACCGAAGCGGGGGTGCCATCCCCTCTGCAGAGGATCAAAATTGTGATGGCATGTCTTCGGATCATCCTCCAGGGATGTTTCCCAGACCGTCGCCAATAGCCCATTGTGCAGCTCGAGTGCGACGTAAATGAACAACAAAAACAAAAACTTTTTCAGAAGAATTAAGTGATTTTGCTAACTTTTTTTTAAGTTTCTGGAGATCACTAAGTAGCATTTCTAAAATATTTATCTGGGTAATGTTTTACAATTAATATCAAATATAGTGACAACTAGTCAAATTTTCATTTTGCGACGTAACCAAGCCAACTTAACTTAGCTTAAAGCCAAAACGTAAATATTTTCCTCATAATGCTGCTACCTCATTGTTCTGAATATGAACAAAAACTGGTTCCAAAGCATAAAAAGAGGTTTTCCTTTTCTCAAGCATACACAAAGCTAAACTTGTTACGTAATAGAACCGTTGAACCTCTTAGAGTGCGACTTCGAGGAGAACTCCTCCAGACTAAAAGTCTAGGACTGTCTGCTGCTATGGTAACAAGCGAGAGCACATTTCTAATGGGTGTGAAATGAAGGAAAGAAGGTGTCGACTGGTTTAGGTACTCACGACCACCTATGCCAAGATTAAGACAAAACTATACACTCTACACCCCTATTCGAAGTGACTTTTCCTCGTAACCATAGTACCCGCCACGACACGAGACGGTTGTCTGGAGGAGTTCTCCTGAAAGCCGCACTATACCTTGCTTCGGAGATCACTTTACTCATGAAGCAAATATAAACATTCAAACCGAAACAGTTAGGAGGTTCCGCCCCATTCGCGATGTTAACTATTGCATAGCCACTATTGGCAGCAGTATTTGGTGCTTTTATTTTGCCAAATGGTTTTGGAGCCTTCCAAGAAAAATCTTTCAACCATCTCCTACACTGAAATAATTTGCGAAAATAAATCGATGTTAGATGAGCCTAAAATGTTATCTTTTCCATAGAAATTTCAACTCTCTTTTGAAATGTAATAATTTTTTAATGAATTTAAAGTGTAGACAATATGGTCAGTTATTTTATTACAATAAGCCCTTTGCATGTTTGGGAAGATTTCCGTGTCGTGATTTGCGGCAGAACAATTTCCAAATCTTGGCAACTTTCGGGTAGAGAAAAAAGAAAATCACAGATGGGGCCCAACCCTAAGGATATAACTCGTAGCCACCCCCGGGAAAACCTCTGCATTTTTTTCTTAATTAACAAGTTTGAAATCCATTTGGCGCCTTGGCGAATGTAGTTGGCACGACAGTTCACGGTAAGGAAATATCCTCGAATGTTTTTCTTTTTAACTTGAGTCGCGGTAGCTCAGTGGTTAAGGCGTTGAACTGTCGTTGTTAAGCACTGGGGTTCGTTTCCCTCAATGGGTAGCAGTTTGTCTGGGAAATAAAGGTGGCCTGCGCGCAATACTAACTACATTACCACAATCATGCCGTTGATCATGAAAATGTGGCACCTTAGCCTCCATGAAGAACTGTTAACTGCTTTAAGAACTGTTACGCAGTTAATAAGTAAAAGTTAACGTTGGGCTTTAAGTTTTACTATTTGACTAACCTATATTCGTATTTTTTCTAAGGTTAGTGTTCTGCAACTTAGTGTGGGTACTTACTGAGGTTAGTGTTCTTCAGAGAATTAACTGTATTAACTAATTATACTTATATCGTAGGTATTTGAAGCATGCAGAAATGCAACATTTGTTAGAAAGTGGAACACTTTTAGTTAGGGTTATTTTCATTCGTTTCAGCTTTTGCTAAAACCTTAATTTAATTGTTTTCTCTTTGAAAATTTTCGAGTATGGAATATACCGGTTGTTTCATAAGTATTTTGTATTGTAGATATGTATTTTTTGAACTCTTTTTAAAAGTACACGATAGTAGTTGAAATCTAATAATTAAGAGCGAGGAAGAAACAAAAATTCTATTGAAATCTGTCAAATTACAGTAGCGAACGGTAGACGTAATACTCATCAAAACAGGTTTAATTTTAATTAGAGGTTGAAA